ATACTATAAATATCATTAAATGGTCACTATAAATAATACTATAAATATCATTATATGGTCACTATAAATATTACTGTAAATATCATCTTTCAGTCACATTTTCAATACAATTTTCTTTACCATATACTCCATACAAATGTTTATTTCTCCATCACTATAAAAAGCCTCATAGAATCCAACAATGTGTGGAGAATTACACTCATGAAGCACCTTCAATTCTCGAAGTATCTGTGTCCGAATGGCAGGCTTAACTTCCAGGTGAATTAGCTATTAAGAAAAAATACAAAACTAGAACAGATGTGTGTTATGAATTCAAATATACATGTAAATATTGCAAGTATTACTTTCTGTTTCTCAAAACTTATAACATAATAAAAAATATCCTACTTCTGGTATACTTCAATAAAAATCAATATAAGTTGATATTTTGGGGTAAAAAGTATCATACAATATTGAGTTAAATTAATTAATTATGATGATAAGAAGACCAGACATGCATTTTTCAGTTGGTTCATTATGTATTGTGAACTAAAGTCTCAGCCAAAAAACCATGAGTAATAGATCCAACAAGAAAACTGCACACACTTTTGTCCAATGAAAGAGCACAAAAGTAGTAAATGATTGAAAACTATTTAATAATCTGAATCTATGTTGACACCTCATATTATAGAAGAAAACTGCACACACTTTTGTCCAATGAAAGAGCACAAAAGTAGTAAATGATTGAAAACTATTTAATAATCTGAATCTATGTTGACACCTCATATTATAGTTTTACTTTGATACAAAATGCATGAATCAGTTTTGAGATCATTAATTTGCAAGAAAACCAAAGTCTTTATTGTTATTAAATTAAGATTTCATGCTGTCTAATGCAGCTGTGAAGCATACATGTGATTAGATGACAGATGACTTACGGAACCCTGTCCGTAAGTGATATGATGATTATTGAATTAAGATTTCATGCTGTTTAATGCAGCTGTGAAGGATACTTGTGATTAGAAGACAGATGACTTACAAGAAATATGTCCTAGTGATATGATGAGGCAATGTGAAAGAAACTGATCTAAAATGTTTTGCAAAGAGATACATTAGATTTGACATGTTTATTGGTTGAAAGAAGCTAACATAAAGTCCAACTGTCTGTTTCTAGTGTTTGTAAACTAGTGATGATTGAACTTTCTCTAGTGTTTAAACAAGATGTAAACTAGTGGTTATTGAACTTTCTCTAGTGTTTCAACAGGATGTAAACTAGTGGTGATTGAACTTCCTCTGGTGTCTGAACAGGATGTCAATTAGTGGTTATTGAACTTTCTCCAGTTCAAACGTGCTGTGTCAACTCTGGCTTCTAAAGATTTTAGAATTCCAGCAAATAAATAAGGCTCGAATAAATGGTGCTTCCCGTAAATACTGAAGGGCAGAAGAAGGTATGTGAATACCCTCTAAAAATGCATCACGACTCAACAAGTCCCAGCAACTCCAAGGCAAGTCCTGAAGAGGACAAACATGTCATAATAGTGACCAGTAAATGGCCCAGTTCTTCGTCAAATTGTTAAGACGATTGGTGATATGCGTCAGACAAAAGTTGAAGGGAAGAGAAGTATCTTAAAACTGTAGTAAGAGTCAAATGAATCCGCAAAAATTGTGACCTGTAAAGTGAGATAAAAGGTTCGTACCTGGCACCCCATAGATCCAACAACAGATCCAACCTTTGAGTGTCCAAATATATATCATCCTCACAATGATACGCCGGGGCATGTTGTTCAGATAAATGAGTTCAGATAAACGTGTAACTAACTGCAGAAAAAAGGGGTCAGAAGGTGGCTGATCAGATGACTCCTCAGGAGAGGAAACTCTAGTGAAAGAAGGAGCAGGAAACAGGGAATCAGGTCACGGACAGCTTCCACAGAGAATGGCTCCCCCCCCCCCCAACTGCTGACCACCAGTAGATAACAAAGGGGAAATAGATGAAGGCTGAGTAGCCTCTGTGCTTGAAACCATTACACAGGAATTCGTATCCTTTTTTTTTAAATATATTTGTAGGAAAAAACAAAAACAAATTCAACGAAATATATCTCTGGATAACAAAACAAAGAATTTCCGATTATTAGAAAGCAAAAACTAAGAAAATGTAAATCACAAAACATCAGTCTGAATGCTCGCACTATGTCGAGAAAAAGCAAATTTATTGTCTGCATACAGTGCTTATATACAGTACCTGCACAGAGGGCATATGAGGGCCAGCGTAAAAAAGCTGCTAAATGTAAGTAATTTGGCTGTATTTGTCTGTCTGCTCTTAAATTTGCATTTTTTTCTCTATCCCTTTCTTGTCTAGTTTTGGTACCACTACGTTCCAACAATGATATTTACGTTATGTCGCTTAGCAAGAAAAGTATAAACTAATATTGTTGTTAGACTATATAGAAAAAGTATAAAATGAGAGGTATAGACAATAAAACTGGAAAAATATTTGTTGATTTCTTAATTTACAGCTGCTAAATGTAAGGATTTTGGCTGTATTTGTCTTTCTGTTCTTAAATTTGCATTTCTTTCTCTATCTCTTTCTTATCTAGATGCTCTTTCTTGTTCATTTTCTTGAGGTCTTTGAACACTCAGTCTCTAGCCTTGATTCTCTTTCTTCATTTTTTGAGTTATTTGATGAGCATGTCTCTCTCTATCTCTTTCTAACCTGATTCTTTTTCTTGTTCATTTTCTTTATATCTTTGAGTAGCATTTCCTTCTCTTACTACTTTCCAACCTACATGATTTTTATTCTTCTTGTCTCATTTTGTCTCTCTTCTCTATTTGTTTCAGTATCTTTTTTTCTTTGCATAAAACCTCTTTGCTCTTTTCTGAGACATTTTTCAAACACAATTTTTAGGAAGTAAGGATTTGAAGTCAATTTTGACTCAATAGAGATATTTTTTTAAATTAAAATCATTCATGAAATGAATTATTGGCATATTCATAGAATAATTATCATTAAAAATCAGTTAGATTAACAACTTTTAATACATTGAAAAGCCAGTGAGTTTTGGTACCACTACATTCCAACAATGATATTTATGTCGCTTAGCAACAAAAATAAAACCTAATATTATTGTTAGTCTATATACAGAAAGTATAAAATGAAATGTATAGACAATAAAACTGAAAAAATATTTGTTGATATCTTAATTTAGAGACTCCGTTAATGAGAGAGGATAATAAAAACATTGGTGATATAACAGAAAACAGCTTGATTGAGAAATGACTTAAGTTTAAAATTGAATCGATGTTATTACTTTCCAACATAGATGCTCTTTCTTCTTCTGTCTCATTTTTTCTCTCTTCTTTCTTTCTTTTAGCATTTTTTTTTCTTTCTTTTTTTTTGGGTCATTTTCAAAGATAATTTTTAGGAAGTAAGGTTTTGAAGTCAATTTTGACTGAATAGAGAACTTTTTTGGGGGTGGGTGGGATGTGGGGATACAGTTTTTCTGTTGAACTATAAGTGGTTGACTTGATGGCAAACTATAAAAAATTGGTGGAATCTTTCTTTTAGGATGGAAAAATTTGACAATTTTTAGATAGAAATACATTGACTGAAACCAACTCACTGTGTTCTCCACAAAATTCTAGGTTAAATACCTTTAAAACAGAAAGTCCTAAGCCAAAGTTATGATAATTTCTTGACATTTTCCAATTTTACTGCATACAGTACCAAACATCGCTTTAAAAAACTGAACATCATTTAAAAAACTGCTAATTCATAAACACATTAAAATGACTTTAAGAACTTATCAAAAGAATCAAATTGACCTCCTTTGGAACCCAAGGAAGCTCCATACCAAATTTGGTTAAGATCCATAGCTGTCAAAGTGGTAAAGTAATTGCAAGGAATGCAAAAACGACCATAAAAACTGCAAAACACAAAATGTGAAACTGCAAGTTTGCATGTATCTCCACATGAACCCAACAAACCTTCATACTAAATTTGTTGATGATCCATCCACAGGGGGAGTAGTGGTAAAAGATGCAAAAACACTCATAATAACTGGAAGACATAAAATGCAAAACTGAAAGTTTCTATGTATCTCTCCATGGACTTAATGAACCTCCATACCATTTTTGGTGATGATTCATCCACACCCTGCGAAATAGTTACATGGACATACAAAAGACAGTACTATTATATTTATATAGAAGTAGTTACATGGACACACAATAGAGAGTATTATTATATTTCTACAGAAGTAGTTACATGGACACGCAACAGACAGTACTATTATATTTATTTCGAAGTAGTTACATGGACATATAAAAGACAGTACCATTATATTTATATAGAAGTAGTTACATGGACACACAA